AGGGAAATGAGACAGAGAAGAGAAGGCAGCCAGGAAAGGATGCATCCAGGAAAAGTTACCCCCATGGACAACTGGGGCTCAGTCCTATTGGGTACTTCTGGGAGGTATCATAGGACATGCACCTCAGGGCCTTCCCACAAGAGGTGGAACAAGCTGAGGTATTTATCTACCAATTCCCCAACTGTTATTATTTGAGAGCAGCTTCCAGGGGCATTAATACCCTTGCACTTGTGACTTGCTCTGGCGTGTGCAAGCATGCCGCTCATAGCAGGGAACATGCCATCAGGCAGTCACAGGATTCACAGAAAGCAGACAAAGGGCAGGTACAGGTGAGTATGAAGAGGTCAGTGGCCTCTGCTACACAGGACTTCCTGTGTCTCTATGGGTGCAGACTGAGTCTGGCAAACCCATTCACTTACTTCCATGTGAATTCTGCTGTACAACATGGAGCCGATAGTTAACAGTAGAGGGCTGTGCACTTAATAACTTGGTAAGAGGATAGATCTCTCGTGTTTTTACCACAAATTTAAAAAAGCAAGGGGGCACAAGAAATCTTTTGAAGATGATGGATATATTTATTACCTTAACCATGCAGATGATAGCATGATATATGCCTATGTTCAAACTCATCAAAAGGTAAGTACTCAATATATGTGCTATTTTGTATATTACATATACTTCAATAAAGCTGGGGCGGGGGGAGACAGTCTTAGAGACACCTCTCACACTCTCTGTTATTAGCTTTGTGCCTGTGTTTATTTTACTTTACAATTTTTTTCCTAATTGATTAAAGTATTACATATGGGTCCTTATCCCCCCATTGCCTACCCACTCACCCCCCTGGTGTCTGTGTCCATTGGTAATACTTATATTCATGCATACAAGTCCTTTGGTTGATCTCTCCCCCTTACTCCCACCCTCCCCTACCTTCCCTCTGAGGTTTGATGGTCTGATCCAGTGGTTGGCAAACTGCGACTCGCGAGCCACATGCGGCTCTTTGGCCCCTGGAGTGTGGCTCTTCCTAAGCCTTAGGAGTGCCCTGAG